CGATGGCTCAAGCCTACAGTTGCCAGAAGAGCCTGGACAGATTACTTGAAGGCAGTCATGTTCTTTGATTCTGCTGGTTAGATGTTTTCTTAAGACTGATCGCGTTGTGGTCCAGTTCAGTAGACGCAAATACGTACATGCTTTGTCATATGACATTATAACACCAGGTGTCAATACACGGCATGAATCAAGCTATAATTACAGTAATAATAAGCGATGGCACATGTGTTCGCGAAATGGGATTAGTCATCGTAAATTAAGTAATGACGCAAATACGTACATGCTTTGTCATATGACATGATGACACCAGGTGTCAATAAACGGCAGGAATCAAGCTATAATTACAGTAATAATAAGCGATGGCATGTGTTCGCGAAATGGGATTAGTCATCGTAAATTGAGTAATGACACAAGGTGTTCGCAAACTGAATGAACCACGCACTAGTCATCGTAAATCAAGTAATGACACAAGGTGTTCGCTAACTGAATGAACCACGCACTGGTGATTGTAAATCAAGTATTGACACAAGGTGTTCGCAAACTGAATGAACCACGCACTAGTCATCGTAAATCAAGTAATGACACAAGGTGTTCGCGAACCGGATGGATCCAGGGGGCCAAGTGTTCGCTAAACGGAGGAGTCACGCATTAACTATACTAATATCTAAATTATGACACAAGGTGTTCGCGAACCGGATGGATCCAAGGGGCTAAGTGTTCGCTAAACGGATGAGTCACGCATTGACTATACTTATATTTACATGATGACACCGGGTGTTGCATGTGCAAAGTTTTGTAAATTTTGTTTTGCATGTGTAAATCATTAATGCTTGTAAGCATTTGAATGCGTCGCTTACGATTTTGCCTAAACTCTGATTCTTTTCAAGTGACACACACACGAGCTTGAATACCCCTGAGGTACCGGCGGTTTGACTTGATAACACTTCAAATGAAACACTTCTAACATTGGTCCAGATAAGGAAACTATGATGTCGCTATGGCGTCATGTTGTTTCACCTAATTAGATGTACACACGTATTGTATTATCAGAAACGTCAAACGTAATTATTCGTGTTTTCTGTGATCGCCGACAATGTTGCTAATGATTATTCTTTAACCGAGTTTTGCTTGCCGGGCATAAAGCCTGATCAAGTTGCACTGTCCACAAACGTTACGTGCGCATCATCCAACAAGATCAGATACTTTTGTATATTGTGAACTGAGCTTTTTCTTTGTGTTATTTCATGTTTCAACTTGTGAAAGATAAATAACGTGCCAGCTTACTCAAATATTTGTTAAAACGATAATTTAATATAAAAGCTTAATGATAACCGTAATTGTTAAAAAAACATAGAATTGCAAAACAATGAACTTTCTTTTCAAAACTTATGGATTTTTTAAAGGATATGGTATTGCTAGTGTGACTCATTATTCTTCGAGGTTTTGTATCGGTGGATATTCATAATAACTAGAAAAGTGGCCATCTTCATAGTCATTGTTACGAGGTGGTACCGTTGGAAAGCAGTAATCAATATATGCATTAACTAAAATACTTTCTGGAATAATATATTTGTATACGTGCGTGAGTGAGCAATTCTACAGTGGATACCAAGAATGTACTTTATACTTTGTAACCAAAACCCCTTCGGCTGTGACTATAGAACGTTTTAACCACTCGGCGCCTGTCACCGGGGCGTTGATTGCCTCATGTTACGGTCTTGTGAGTGCTCGGTTCCTGGCTTTATTTCCGGCGCTGCTCGGCAATGTCCGGCGGTCGCTATCCTACAGTGTTAGTACATTTTGTGTCAGAGATTTAGTGGCCCGAATATTTCATTCTCTTGTAATCTAATGGCACTCTCAAACCATGTTTTGACTGGATGTAGTTTATCTGTTATATTTTCGCCACCGTATTCTTGTCTTTGAAAGGCATTAAGAAACGATACAGATAAGGAAGAGAATATATGGATGTCAACTTCTTTATTATGAGGAACACAAGGTTTCGGAGTATATGCTTACTCCTTCATCATTCACCTGATAAAGAAGTAAGTATATACTAGAAAACATTGTGTTCCTCATAATAAAGAAGTTGACATCCATATATTCTCTTCCTTACCGCATTCTTGTGTTGAAAATGTTTTTGTGACTATGATTTTCAAAAATTACACTCAAGTATTTCTCATGTATTCATGGTCATTTTTGCCTCATCAATAATTGTAAATAGCTTATTGTATATCTTTAATGGTACAGTTGGATAGCTCATGTTCAGCGCTATATTTTGAATGTTACAACTCCAGTATGGCTATAGTAGTTAGTTTGCTGTTAGTGTTATCCCCTTGTGTAGAAACACACGTTGGCTTGGCACCCCTGTGTGTGTGGCACCGGGGTGTGTGGCGCCGGGTGGCCCTGTCGTCTAAGGCGCCGTGATTCGCTGTGCAGAGTTGCGTCCTATGCATACCCGTGCGCATGGGTTTCACTGAAGTGATAAACGTCTGCATCACTTTGGGCCCACATCCCACACTAAGCTGACACTCAGTGATATAACTGGAATACTGTTAAAAGCAAACCAAACTCACCCACCTTTATCAGTCAAATTGTCTGAATTTTTAGTCTATTAAGACTAGTTGATATTCAGACGTAATAGTCTATTTTGTAATCTAAGTGACTTATTCAAGGGATAGGCTCTCTGTGTTTATTTCCCGTTATTTAACCCAGCCGAGGTTATTCACTCATTAAAGTGTTGAGTTAACTGACTCAGGTGTTAATTGGTCTCAGCCGACTAAATTGTCTGTCTACGCATCTGGGCCCTGTTCCACAAAGCGATCTTAGCGCTAAGGTGTTCGTAACTCCCATACTTTAACACTGGCTTACGATCATCGTAGTGCTAAGGTGATCGTAACTCCCATACTTTAACATAGGCTTACAATCATCGTAGCGCTAAGGTGATCGTAACTCCCATACTTTAACATAGGCTTACAATCATCGTAGCACTAAGGTGATCGTAACTCCCATACTTTAACATTAGCTTACGACAGTCGTAGCGCTAAGGTGATCGTAACTCCCATACTTTAACATAGGCTTACAATCATCGTAGCGCTAAGGTGATCGTAACTCCCATACTTTAACATTAGCTTACGACAGTCGTAGCGCTAAGATGATCGTAACTCCCATACTTTAACATAGGCTTACAATCATCGTAGCGCTAAGGTGATCGTAACTCCCATACTTTAACATTAGCTTACGACAGTCGTAGCGCTAAGGTGATCGTAACTCCCATACTTTAACATAGGCTTACAATCATCGTAGCGCTAAGGTGATCGTAACTCCCATACTTTAACATTAGCTTACGACAGTCGTAGCGCTAAGGTGATCGTAACTCCCATGCTTTAACATAGGCTTACAATCATCGTAGCGCTAAGGTGATCGTAACTCCCATACTTTAACATTAGCTTACGACAGTCGTAGCGCTAAGGTGATCGTAACTCCCATACTTTAACATAGGCTTACAATCATCGTAGAGCTAAGGTGATCGTAACTCCCATACTTTAACATAGGCTTACAATCATCGTAGCGCTAAGGTGATCGTAACTCCCATACTTTAACATAGGCTTACGACAGTCGTAGTGCTAAGGTGATCGTAACTCCCATACTTTAACATAGGCTTACGACAGTCGTAGTGCTAAGGTGATCGTAACTCCCATACTTTAACACAGGCTTACGACAGTCGTAGTGCTAAGGTGATCGTAACTCCCATACTTTAACATAGGCTTACGACAGTCGTAGTGCTACGTTTGCTTTGGGGAACGGGGCCCTGGTGGGTATCTCGTGTTGTTTTAGTTACTCCTTGTATTGCTGTAATACAGTTGTTTAGCTATGCCGGTTGTATAATAGTGATAACTGTTAACTGTTAAATAGTGTTTATCTGATCCTTTATTGTCATTTATTTGTACAACTAGCCTTTATTAATAAACATCTGAACCTTTTACCATGTTTTTATTATGACTTTATTCTCTGTTCCGTTCTCTAGCTCCGTGACAGCGTTTACGTTACATTATGTTTGTCATTGATTTACAAGATGGCTAGCTGTGGCAATAAACACAGGAACATGGTACAGGTCAAAATAGGGAATTGCATCGGACATCTTGTTTTTGTCCCTGATGCGTCTAATTTGAAAACGTCCACCTCATGTCGACCACAAAACTTTATGAAAGCTTTACTGTGGTCTTGAATGTTGTAACCTTGATCAAACACCTTTTGATGAAGAGACGTATGACGCTCTTTATTTCTTAGCAGAAAGAGTATGCTTGATAGTATCTCAAAAGTTGTGAAATGTAGACCCTGGACTACTGCAGGACATAAAGGTTTAGTTGCCTATTGGAAAGTCATCACTCTTGTCAAACAGTCTTGTGGGGTATATAACTGTGCTCTGGAATAATGGTATCTTACAAACATAATTATTTTCCACATGCGTGACATTAGAAAGACTGCACCTTGACACACGCTATGTTAAACTAAAGCAGTACAGCCTTGATCATTCCAATTTGAAAATTCTGGTGATTTATACGATTGACCTTGTTGTTCTGAGCAAGATGTAGTAGTAGATATGGTTGATTCGCCACAGTTTGGGGAGTAAGGACAAAAGCCTGTTGGCGCCAAAGGGTGAAACCGATATCACAAGATCGTTTAAGATCATTTGGTAGCAATCTAATTCTTTATTAGTCCCAAGGAAGTAGTTACTTAGAATTATAATATATAATATACTTTGGTGTTAGATTTTCAGGACTGATACACATCAATGTTGGAAGACTATGAAATGAGTTATGTGCTATGGGGCATTGCACATCAGCTGTTTTGAATGAGTGAGTGAGTGAGTGAGTCGGGTTTAAGGCCGCTTTTAACAGTGTTCCAGTTATTCACGGCGTGTCAGCTTAATGTGGGAGGAAAGCCCGAAGTGATGCAGGTTTAAGACATTTACCACTTCGGTGAAACCCACGAGCACGGGTATGGTGCTGACAAACCTATGACATAATCAAGGCGAACCGGGATTCGAACAAACAATCATCGGTTTCTGGTGCGCCCAAGGGACGCAACTCTGCACAGCGAATTTCGGCGCCTGTTCTGAATGATGAATGAGTTCATGAATGACGGTTTATCTGTAATTCCTGAGAACGCGTTGGTTTTCAAATTTAGATTTCTCGAATATCCATCTTTGATTCAAATTTCCATCGCACGTCGCCATTTGGAGAGATGAGGTCTCCCCAACTGTTAGACATTTGTCAAACGTCTTCAGGTAGAGAGTATGGTCCTGAAACAGACAAAATCAACATTGTTTAATAATTGCACATGAAGTGTAGGTCACTAGCTCTACTGTAATCAACTTTACATTAAATAATCATCTTGACACACTAAAAAGCAAGATATGAATGGTTCTGAAGCCCCGAGTAAAAATATAAACATAAACAAACATATGTTTTGTTTGTTTGTTGTTTGATTCCGCTCTTAGCAATATGCCAGCTATATGAAGGGGGTCTGTAAATAATCGAATCTGGGCCAGACAATCCAGTGATTGACATCATGAGCATTGATCCACACAATTTTGATACAATGACATGCATCAACGAAGTCAGCGAGCCTGACCAATCGATCCCGTTTTTCGCCTCTTAGGACAAACATAGTCGCTTTTTACGGCAAGCATGGGTTGCTGAAGACCTATTCTGCCCCGGACCTTCACGGGTTATATTGTTTAGAATGTATGTAACCTAGGGAATCGCTAAATTGGTGATACAGTCTTGGTCCTAACAACTTAATTATTCAAAACTCTTTAGGGAAATTGTTGACTGACGTTTTGTATTACTTTTTCATAATAGTGTTTATTCAGGGGAACAATTGACTTGCTCTTGCATGTGTTTGTAACGGGGGCCACCAGTGAGTTAGGAACACCTGGTTTCATCACTGTTTGATAGTGATTCATAAACACACCCTTATGATATTGTCGGCACAATCGACTCTGCTTTTGGCAGATATTTCTTATGAATATGGAAAGGGTTTTGTCGCCTTTAATTAATAATTTACAATGGAGGAGTATAAAGTGATATTGCTTAAGCGGACCAAGGCAGTTGAGAATCGATATAATTCACATATGTTAATGAGTGTTGTATAACGCCACACCTACAGTCGGGAATATTCCAACCATAGAAAGACGTCCTGTAAATGTGCGTGTTTGGACGAGACAAACCAGTGGTTGATGTTGTGAGCAATCAACCAAATCACCGAGTCTGACCTCCAATCAACCAAATCACCGAGTCTGACCTCCAATCAACCAAATCACCGAGCCTGACCTCCAATCCATTTTGTAGTACTGGAGGACAAGCAAAGCTTTCTGAGAACATGTTCTATTCCCCATTCCTCACAGGTTGTGTTGACAAGAGCACATGGATAAAGACATGTATTGACATGTAATAAAATCAATATTGACACAATGTAGGTGCCTAGAGATGAAATAACCAGTTGAATTGTCAAAAAGAGTTAAAAAAATGAAAATATTTTTTAATTAATGTAGACACAGAAAAGAACTTAGGACCCGCTTTAAACAAAACACTTAAAAGCTACACTACTGTTCAGGAAAAAATCTAAAACACACAAACACAATGCATCAAAAGAGAAGGTTTTCAACGATGACTCGCGTGCTGTTTCAGAGTATCAAAGGAACTGTTCTTGGAACCCACAGCTTACATTCAGCATCCACATCATAGAAAACGGAAACAGAGGAAGCCAAATTTCTTTCGGTGAATCTTAAATGTGGAACTTCTTGAGATGCTATGACATGGTGTTTGGATAGACATACGTGTATGTCACACATTGTTGTTAGTGCTACAGGTGTTTGGATACACATACATGTATGTCATACATTGTTGCTAGTGCTACAGGTGTTTGGTTACACATACGTGTATGTCATACATTGTTGTTAGTGCTACAGGTGTTTGGATACACATACATGTATGTCATACATTGTTGTTAGTGCTATAGGTGTTTGGATACACATACGTGTATGTCATACATTGTTGTTAGTGCTACAGGTGTTTGGATACACATACATATATGTCATACATTGTTGTTAGTGCTACAGGTGTTTGGATACACATACGTGTATGTCATACATTGTTGTTAGTGCTACAGGTGTTTGGATACACATACGTGTATGTCATACATTGTTGTTAGTGCTACAGGTGTTTGGATACACATACGTGTATGTCATACATTGTTGTTAGTGCTACAGGTGTTTGGATACACATACGTGTATGTCATACATTGTTGTTAGTGCTACAGGTGTTTGGTTACACATACGTGTATGTCATACATTGTTGTTAGTGCTACAGGTGTTTGGATACACATATGTGTATGTCATACATTGTTGTTAGTGCTACAGGTGTTTGGTTACACATACGTGTATGTCACACATTGTTGTTAGTGCTACAGGTGTTTGGATACACATACGTGTATGTCATACATTGTTGTTAGTGCTACAGGTGTTTGGATACACATACATGTATGTCATACATTGTTGTTAGTGCTACAGGTGTTTGGATACACATACGTGTATGTCACACATTGTTGTTAGTGCTACAGGTGTTTGGATACACATACGTGTATGTCATACATTGTTGTTAGTGCTACAGGTGTTTGGATACACATACATATATGTCATACATTGTTGTTAGTGCTACAGGTGTTTGGATACACATACGTGTATGTCATACATTGTTGTTAGTGCTACAGGTGTTTGGATACACATACATATATGTCATACATTGTTGTTAGTGCTACAGGTGTTTGGATACACATACGTGTGTGTCATACATTGTTGTTAGTGCTACAGGTGTTTGGATACACATACATGTACATATATGTCATACATTGTTGTTAGTGCTACAGGTGTTTGGATACATATACATATATGTCATACATTGTTGTTAGTGCTACAGGTGTTTGGATACACATACGTGTATGTCATACATTGTTGTTAGTGCTACAGGTGTTTGGATACACATACGTATATGTCATACATTGTTGTTAGTGCTACAGGTGTTTGGATACACATACGTGAGTGTCATACATTGTTGTTAGTGCTACAGGTGTTTGGATACACATACGTGTATGTCATACATTGTTGTTAGTGCTACAGGTGTTTGGATACACATACATATATGTCATACATTGTTGTTAGTGCTACAGGTGTTTGGATACACATACGTGTATGTCATACATTGTTGTTAGTGCTACAGGTGTTTGGATACACATACATGTACATATATGTCATACATTGTTGTTAGTGCTACAGGTGTTTGGATACATATACATATATGTCATACATTGTTGTTAGTGCTACAGGTGTTTGGATACACATACGTGAGTGTCATACATTGTTGTTAGTGCTACAGGTGTTTGGATACACATACGTGTGTGTCATACATTGTTGTTAGTGCTACAGGTGTTTGGATACACATACGTGTATGTCACACATTGTTGTTAGTGCTACAGGTGTTTGGATACACATACATGTATGTCATACATCGTTGTTAGTGCTACAGGTGTTTGGATACACATACATGTATGTCACACATTGTTGTTAGTGCTACAGGTGTTTGGATACACATACGTGTATGTCACACATTGTTGTTAGTGCTACAGGTGTTTGGATACACATACGTGTATGTCATACATTGTTGTTAGTGCTACAGGTGTTTGGATACACATACATGTATGTCATACATTGTTGTTAGTGCTACAGGTGTTTGGATACACATACATGTATGTCATACATTGTTGTTAGTGCTACAGGTGTTTGGATACACATACGTGTATGTCATACATTGTTCTTAGTGCTACAGGTGTTTGGATACACATACATGTATGTCATACATTGTTGTTAGTGCTACAGGTGTTTGGATACACATACGTGTATGTCACACATTGTTGTTAGTGCTACAGGTGTTTGGATACACATACATGTATGTCATACATTGTTGTTAGTGCTACAGGTGTTTGGATACACATACGTGTATGTCATACATTGTTGTTAGTGCTACAGGTGTTTGGATACACATACATGTATGTCATACATTGTTGTTAGTGCTACAGGTGTTTGGATACACATACATGTATGTCACACATTGTTGTTAGTGCTACAGGTGTTTGGATACACATACATGTATGTCATACATTGTTGTTAGTGCTACAGGTGTTTGGATACACATACGTGTATGTCATACATTGTTGTTAGTGCTACAGGTGTTTGGATACACATACGTGTGTGTCATACATTGTTGTTAGTGCTACAGGTGTTTGGATACACATACGTGTATGTCACACATTGTTGTTAGTGCTACAGGTGTTTGGATACACATACATGTATGTCATACATCGTTGTTAGTGCTACAGGTGTTTGGATACACATACATGTATGTCACACATTGTTGTTAGTGCTACAGGTGTTTGGATACACATACATGTATGTCATACATTGTTGTTAGTGCTACAGGTGTTTGGATACACATACGTGTATGTCACACATTGTTGTTAGTGCTACAGGTGTTTGGATACACATACATGTATGTCATACATTGTTGTTAGTGCTACAGGTGTTTGGATACACATACGTGTATGTCATACATTGTTGTTAGTGCTACAGGTGTTTGGATACACATACATATATGTCATACATTGTTGTTAGTGCTACAGGTGTTTGGATACACATACGTATATGTCATACATTGTTGTTAGTGCTACAGGTGTTTGGATACACATACGTGAGTGTCATACATTGTTGTTAGTGCTACAGGTGTTTGGATACACATACGTGTGTGTCATACATTGTTGTTAGTGCTACAGGTGTTTGGATACACATACGTGTATGTCACACATTGTTGTTAGTGCTACAGGTGTTTGGATACACATACATGTATGTCACACATTGTTGTTAGTGCTACAGGTGTTTGGATACACATACATGTATGTCATACATTGTTGTTAGTGCTACAGGTGTTTGGATACACATACATGTATGTCACACATTGTTGTTAGTGCTACAGGTGTTTGGATACACATACATGTATGTCATACATTGTTGTTAGTGCTACAGGTGTTTGGATACACATACATGTATGTCACACATTGTTGTTAGTGCTACAGGTGTTTGGATACACATACGTGTATGTCATACATTGTTGTTAGTGCTACAGGTGTTTGGATACACATACGTGTATGTCATACATAGTTGTTAGTGCTACAGGAGCAGTGCTTATTTTGGTAAATATTTAGAACGCTGAAATGGACGTTGGGTTGTCAAGTGGTTAAAGCATCTGCTCGTAACGCCGACAGCTCAGGTTTGATTGGCAACATTGGTACAATCGCAGCAAAAGATATGTTACGAAGTTTTGGATCGAAAAGATAAGGGAATATTACGATGTTTAGTATGACCTTATAGTATCGCTTCTCTATATTATCGCGGTATCGGTAAATCTCGTAATCCATACCCTCTGTTGACTGTTAACTTATGCAAATCTCAGCACGATATTTCATCGCATGATCGAATATATGACTCGTCGCGCTATGTCACGGCTACTCGTTAGTATACACGTTTACATTTTTATGATAGTTTCTGGAATGTTTTTGAAGTGTAATTACCCTACCTACATTCGAAATTGGTTATAAAAGAATCCACTTGTTCGGACGATGTCCCTTGACCCACAATAGGTGGTATAAATACTGATTATGCATAATTTAAAACAGGAAGTGATGTAACCCTCATCATCCAAAAGTATCACACCACAAAAAAGTGATATAGAGTTGCCCGCCCTTGATTCACTAATGACAAACTCGGCAAAGAAAATCAACATCGCTGAATCCTAACTGATGTGTCATAAACATTGAACAGAGAACAAGAAGTCCCTAAGTCAACAGCATTTAAATAGAAACATTTGCACGATCTCATAACTATGATTCTTGTCAAGAAGAGATGAGAATATTTGACTGGTATGTCAATTATGATTTTGTTTGTTTGTTGTTTAAAGCTGCACTCAGCAATATTCCAGCTATATGACGGTGGTCTGTAAATGATTGAGTCTGGACCAGACAATCCAGTGATTGACACCATGAGCATCAAACCACGCCATTGGGATACGATGGCATGCATCAACCAAGTCAGCGAGCCTGACCACCCAATCCCGTTAGTCGCCTCTTACAACAAGCATAGTCACCTGTTACAGCAAGCTCGAATTGCTGAAGACCTATTATACTCCGGATCTTCACGGGTCATGTCAATTATGAATAATAGTATGAACATATCGTATCATGAATATGATAATGCAATGTTGAGGGAATGTTGCAGGGATGTGTTTTGGTAACGTTACACGTCGTCCACCATAACCTTGCAGCAACATAACAAAACACATATTTAATGTTGTGGCTATGTTATTTTCTAACATTCATCATCACAACAAACAAGAAACGATGTGACAACGTTGTACCCATGTGTTGTTTTGTTTGCTGAGATGTCTGAAGCCCATGGGGATGTTATATTGCATGAGGGGTGTAAAAGTGTGTTTTAACCCAGCTAATCACCAGTTCTCCACATTATGAGAAGGCTGAAGCCCATGGGAATGTTATATTGCATGAGGGGTGTAAAAGTGTGTTTTAACCCAGCTGATCACCAGTACTCCACATTATGAGAAGGTGAGTAGCATTTTACGCCGCATTTGACATTTCCCGGCAATATCCTGACGGGGAACAACAACGCATGCTTTGACCACAAGGCTCACTCCGCAATACAGATTCAAATACCTGCACATTATAACCATTGTGATGCTACAACATTGACACCGGGCGTTCGCGAAACAGACGAGTCACGCATCACACATTCTAAGCACTCTAATCTGTCACTGCAGTTTCGGCTTTTCTATGGAAGCGTATTAGTGCCACAGTCATTGTTTTATCAAAGATACTACTTTCCTCTACGTAGATGAGACTTACATCTACGTAGATGATACTGTGTCACTAATACGCTTCCATGCATACAAATATTCGTGTTCGAATAACCCTAAGGTTCGAGCGTTTTGATAATAAATGTGCACTATTAATAACATGTCGTATGAATGTATGTCGCTCACACCTCATAATGTGTCTTTGCATATCTGGTAGCTATTGTAATTTGATCCCTCTAATGTCAGTATAAAATGCGTGATCAGAGGGGAGGGTTGCTCTTCTCTTGGTCCAGACTGTCACAATGACAAATGACGTTAGTAACTGTAGCATTATTGCCAATTTGTGCAGTCTACAAAATTATTCAAATATCGATCGGTAACTATCATTTTCAAGCTCATTGTGGTTTATCATTATAACGCCCAAGGGAATTTGGCGTTAAACAGTGTTCTATAACCTGACGACATAAACTTAATATGGAATATCATTTTATTCTACTCGTCAAATCGTCTACTATAAGCAAGTAATTAATAATGGATTACATACAGTGACCCTGTAGAAAATAGACATGCATGACACTGTAGAAAGTTGACACATGCATGACACAGTAGAAAGTCGACACATGCATGACACTGTAGAAAGTTGACACATGCATGACACTGTAGAAAGTCGACACATGCATGACACTGTAGAAAGTCGACACATGCATGACACTGTAGAAAGTCGACACATGCATGACACTGTAGAAAGTCGACACATGCATGACACTGTAGAAAGTTGACACATGCATGACACTGTAGAAAGTTGACACATGCATGACACTGTAGAAAGTCGACACATGCATGACACTGTAGAAAGTCGACACATGCATGACACTGTAGAAAGTCGACACATGCATGACACAGTAGAAAGTCGACACATGCATGACACAGTAGAAAGTCGACACATGCATGACACAATAGAAAGTCGACACATGCATGACACAGTAGAAAGTCGACACATGCCTCACACTGGAGAAAGTCGACACATGCATGACACAGTAGAAAGTCGACACATGCATGACACTGGAGAAAGTCGACACATGCCTCACACTGGAGAAAGTCAACACATGCATGACACACTAGAAAGTCGACACATGCATGACACTGGAGAAAGTCGACACATGCATGACACAGTAGAAAGTCGACACATGCCTCACACTGGAGAAAGACGACAAGTGAGGGTACCAACCCCCTCCTCCCCTGAATCCTGAATACCTTTTAATAGCTCACCCCAATATCCCGAATATAACTTCAGAAAAATCTCAAAGCATTGAGAATAGGGTGCTACTGGAAGTTAAATAAATGAAAACAAATATCGAAAAGATATGCTTAATTATAAAGGAAATGTTTACGTTCATCGTTATTTGTTTTCAAATGCTATTGTTTTTGCATCCCGCTTACAACACTGCTGAGTCCCGAATACTCTCTAAATAGATACCCGAATCCCACGTGCCAAAAGCGGGTTGGCAGCCTCACATACGCAAACTTTCGACCGACCTATACTAAACCACCAAAGTGTAATGCACATTTAAGCACATCAATACATTAAACAAATACAAGCACATGGGCTGTCTTCCGATTGTGCCTTAACGTTGTGGCGACAGATAGATGCGCCAGAGCACCCAGATTCCCCTGACATGCAATCCCCCCGTAGCGCTCGGGAATAAAGATCGTTATAAAATATATAATGACATTAACTCTCGCCCTGTGAGCCGTCACAACGTGATGACAATTAATGCTCCATTGATTAACGAGAATACGTAGTGGATATACAGCGAAGGAATTCACCTGACCTAGACGCCAGGTAATATTTCACAAGTTGACAGAGGACAGCGGCCTTTTACTCTATGAAAAAGGTTTCTACCTGTCCCCAGACAAAGAACGCAACAATCAATAAAGTGTCTATTTTGTCATCCATGGTGTGAATCAGGACTTGTTTGCTTTGACTTATTTCGCATTAATAAATTGGAAAAAGCAAACACGTGAACTGAAACGCATTAATTTCTCCACCCAGTTAAAGTGTCTCCCTGCTCTGGATGTGAAGAGAGGATTACTGTAGGGGCTCTGTGCCAGTCAATAGCGACAGCCGCCATGCAACAAAAGCTTATTACACGAATCACTACACCACGGCTCTCTCTTGTTCCGCTATATAATGCGCATGCCCGGAGGGAACTCTTCCAACTGAGATAGGAAAGTCTCCCGCTGTGTTGAAGATGCTGTAGGTAATGTTGCGTTTCTTCTTCACCAGGTTTGTTAATACCGTGTTTGGATTTATAGGTCCGTATTACCGTAAATGGTGAAATAAACAATCTTGTCATATTATAAATATATATAGTATATAAATATATATACAGGATGAATAAATCGTGTTAACGTTGTCTTCTATCTGTTTAAGTTTAAATGTGTTAAATGTATCTTTTGAAGTAATGTCAGTATTATGTATACAGGCTATAGACTGCTGTGAACACCGTTTCTTTAAAATAATTTAAAATAACTGTAAGGCAATTATAGTCAATTATATGTTCACTAGAATCTCCTTAATGGTGATATTATGTCAACAAGTAAATATTATATCTTTCCAACCTTGCTGCAGGGTCTTAATAAACACCATAAAAATATTCTCCTAATGTCCAGAAAAACACATTTTAACATAATACATTCTGGTATTCGAAATCTGTGCCAAATCTATTTTCATGACGATATAAGTTAATGACGTTACATGTAAAAGAGGGATTATGGTCAAAGTACAACCAGTGACTACCTATTTAGTCACTGTTATTATGAACATATGGTATCAAAACACAAGGAGAAATCTGCGTGAGGTCGTAAAAATATAGCCAATCGGAGCCGGAGGTAACGGATTTGAAACGTCAATTTTCAACTTGGGCTGGGTCCTGCTCCACGGTCGTAGAGAGGTACATTCTGTGAAGCCCATTCCCGATGTCTGCCTTGGTATTGTTGGTATAATGATAAAACAGCTAAAACCACCCTCACTCACTCACTCACTCACTCCACGGCCCTATCCTTTCATATTCCGGTGAAGCTATACCGCGATCTGGAACTTGTCCAAGGTTGTACCTCTTCATGGAAAAAATATTAAATTTCGAATTTTACTTTATTCTTTATGTATTTGTCTTCTTATTTGTTAATATTATTCAGTTTACACGCTGCCTAAATTCATATTGGGTTTGGGGTTTCATTTCCCGTAGTTAACCAAACATTGAATCCTGATGTCTTCAAACTTAAAGTATATGGCCCCTGCACACTTGATGCTCTGAGATAAACATTGTGTGTGTTCAGATTTGCAAGTGTTGTTGAGTATTCAGAAAAAATCACCAGGAACCGGCGGCGTTCGAATAATCAATATCACCCTCAAATCTGAAAACGCATGTTTACCGACATTGTAAAATACAAAGGGTATCAGTAACTGTACGTAGTGCTGTCTCCCTTTCTCGCTGGAATGATGTGACGTCATGACACAATTCATGACGGCATCTGTGTTTTGTGTGTTCAAACACTATAATTAATGCGGTAATTATTTCGGCAAGCCAATTTGGATTGGGAGAAAAAGTGTATCAACAAAAGTATTTATAAGCAGTGAAAAGTCAGAAAGATATCCGTGATCTTGTCCAATCAGATTCAACCTTTTCATTTCAGTTTCACAATGCCCCTTGTTCGAGGTAAACCCCGTGAAGAGGAACAGTTACTGTACCCAGGACGGTAGATGGAAGTGAGTCAACTGGTCAGTACGGTCAATAGCTAATGTGTCCGGTCAGCTGAGGGCAATGGGAGATGGGGAGGAGTTCGCCCCTCCGTACCCTATAAGTCACGTGGAGTGATGTACGTATTTGTAACACCATCGATTTCTATACTGTAGTCCTTGTGTTTCGATGACATGTGTCCAATGGCGGTAGGGACAGAGCGGTTTCAAATGTTTGACATACAAAGGTGTACTGGCTTATTTGAAACATCACTAACAGGGCTCTTAATACTTGTATCTCAACTTGTGATTCAAAGGAAGCAGTATCTAAATACTTTATATATGTAAACGGAAGTAGTAGTGCTGTTTAAAGCTAAAATGAACAGTTCAGACAGAATGTATTCACCAATCTAAATATTCTGATTGCTGTTAAGTCAAACAAACGTGAGTGTATACAGCAAGTTGAGAGGTTGGAGTCGAGACTTGAAATAGACGGGAGTTTGAATAATGTTCTTGATAAAGATATATTTTCCAATCCAAATTAAAAAACGAATGTTTGAAAGGTAGATTGTATTCAATGTTGTATATTTGCAATGCAATATAGTGGCATCTGAAACAAAATGATACCTACATAATTGAACGATTCACATCCAGAAAATAAGCAACCCTTGAATAGCTTCAAGTATGTCAATAACAATTTAATATAATTGAAATGAAATTTGTGATTAGCCTTCTTGTGAAATTATTTCTAAATTATATGAACACAGGTGTACCAATACAGCTCTCATCCAAACTGATGGTACTTCACCCTGATGCCAGAGGAAGGAAGATGGAGTATCCACTGAGGACATATGGGACATTAACGTGAAAACTAGAATAAAATAAGAAAATGAAACGTGACGTGAGACACATACAACATTATAAGATGAATATTTTCCCTTTCCTTTCAACACCAACCAAGAAAGATTTTAAACTGAAACGTCCCCTCTTACTCTTTTAACGGAGTACTGAAGACCATTACACCCTATCCTCTGTTGAACTCTCTTTAAACCTGTTGCCAAGCATACAGAGAGCAATTTGATGTTTAAAGTAGACATGATGTAACTATAATACAAATTGATGTTTCTAAGTTAGAAAACATGTTGACTGTGTGTTGTGACACTGAGAAATTGATCGTGGTGTTTTTCATGAGGACTTAAGTAATAGAAATTGGAAGAGAACTGGGCGGAGGATGCACCTTGGCGTAGTCTGAGGACATTCCCGGGTTATTTACAGCGAAATGTTGTAAGGAGGCCGTAAGGAGGTACTTACCCCTGCCATCTGCACGTGCTGGCGCGTGCGCAGTAGGACGACTTTTAAGTGTCTCCGATGATGAAACGTAAAGGTATTTGAGTCACGTGGATGTGATGCCTGGACCACACACTCGATGCTCTCTCTTTAAACGTGATCTAATATGTACATGTTTCATATATTCACTTACGTTAAATAAATCAAACAAGAGTCGGGGTTAGATTCCTCTTCTAGAACTTCCACTTGAAGTGAGATACAGAAAGTATTATATCAGAAGTGTTCGTGTGATTGGCGAGCATTTTTTGCATCGAATGAAGAAGTATCACGATGAAATGTGTCAATAACGTATTTTGAGGGTGTTACTATGTAGGTATAGCAAGACTCTGATCCAATTTGATTTTCTAAAATACAAGCGACAAAGTCGTGGTCAGTCCTACATACACATCCAATGTCGTGATCAGTTCTACATACACGTCCAATGTCGTGATCAGTCCTACATACACGTCCAATGTCGTGATCAGTTCTACATACACGTCCTATGTCGTGATCAGTCCTACATACACGTCCAATGTCGTGATCAGTCCTACATACACGTCCAATATCGTGATCAGTCCTACATACACGTCCAATGTCGTGATCAGTCCTACATACACGTCCAATGTCGTGATCAGTCCTACATACACGTCCAATGTCGTGATCAGTTCTACATACACATCCAATGTCGTGATCAGTTCTACATACACGTCCAATGTCGTGATCAGTTCTACATACACGTCCAATGTCGTGATCAGTCCTACATACACGTCCAATGTCGTTATCAGTTCTACATACACATCCAATGTCGTGATCAGTTCTACACACACGTCCAATGTCGTGATCAGTCCTACATACACGTCCATTGTCGTGATCAGTCCTACATACACGTCCAATGTCGTGATCAGTCCTACATACACGTCCATTGTCGTGATCAGACCCACACACACGTCCATTGTCGTGATCAGTCCTACATACACGTCCAAAACCATTTGAAAAAATAATTCAGACATTGAAATGCTCCATGTGCAGTGGGCCTTTAAGAGTGAATAAGGGCGAAGTTACATATACTTGTAGCCTGTTATCTCAAATTGATATTCGTTGAATAAAATCCATCTTTTCCACAGGACAAGGGTACACCAGGAATGCATG